TTCTAATAGCGGGTCTAATAGGTTCCTAAAATTCACTTAAATTCCTCAAAATAAGTTTTTGTTTAACTTTTTAAATTTGAATAAAGCAAATAAAAATTTTATTATTTTTATTTGTTAACATGTCAACACGTGTTTTAAATTTGACAAGCATCAAATTTTCTAACGAACTTATAGAAGAACTAAACTTACATATGGACAAGTAAGCCAACAGATATTTTTAAACACCACTGATGTTTAATATTTGATCTTATCTCAAACGGCTGTATTGTCAGTTTAAGAATTCATTTGATTAAAAATTAAACTTTTGGTTATAATATACTAATTCGCATTATTATTTAGATAAGGCATAATGCACTGCCTAAAAGATCTATGTGCCCCTTAGTTGGATTAGAGTTAATACATATTCAAGCAACATAAAACACCATTCTCGTTCTTCAGTTCGAAGCAAACTATATTTATTAAATTTAAATATACATGGAATAGTGTTCTTAAGTCTAGCCTAATTTCTTGATAAAGTGAGAGAGATTATATAATACACATATCAAGTGTGTTTCCCCAAGTCCGATTTTTTTAATGAAAGATAGTATAGAGCCTATCTTTCCTAACCTTAAATTCTTATGTAAGATCAAATACGATCCTATGTGTTTCTTCCATTTGTTCATCAGTGCTGGGCATTCTTCTAGCATGCGTTTTCTTTCTCTCTTCCCTACACTATCTCTAGTGTATTGAACTCCTAACTTAGTTGAGTGATTATTGAATCTACAATGAACGGTTAGTATTCCCGTAATAAGGATGTTAAAATTAAATTTTCCACATATTTTACTTTTCAAAATAGATTTCTTGTCACAAAACAATTAAAATTATTTATATTTTATTATTTATTATAAAAAAATTATTTTAGTGTGAACTTGAAAGCAATTGACATTTTATAAAAATTTGAATTTCATCATTTATATTAGTGGGGATTGAAAAATTAATTGAAAATATTCTCAAATGATCACTCGCTGAGAAATTCTCTTTAAAATTCGAGAAATTAGAAAAATTAATTAATATAATGTTATAAATAATCAATTTGAAAGTAAATTATTTCACTGTATACTATCTGTTTATTAAACTAGTGAAATCAGTTAATCTGAGCAACTTATTTTACTACACCATATATTGAAAGGGCTTAGATCCTAGATAAAGAGATTTGAATTTGCAAATATTGTCCATGCTACATTTGAGTAAAATTGAGGATTAAAATTCAAAAAATTAAAATTTTATTCATGCTTTGATGCTGTTGAAAAGGTGATGAAACGAATAAAGTACAATATTTTTCCTTTATCTTTTTTTTTGATATTTTCTATTTTACATTTACAGAGGTATTTTGTTCTTAATACCAAAATGGAAGATAGAAGAATGAGGACAAGAAAAATATATGTAATTTATTAATTACAATTAATACACTACAATAACATACATAGACTATTTACATAGACTATTTATTTTATTTCGTTATTAGATTGCATTAGAGGCCCAGCTTCATCATCCGTTGGTTATAAACCATCGTTTGCTTGAAATATGTAAATAAATAACATATATCTCTATTATACTCATCATTTATTATTAGTATTGATTTCATTTAAATTTGATATTTAAATAAATAATAATAGAACTTCTGCTTAGTGAAGACCACATAATATATATATTTCACATATGTATATGGTCTCCTTCATCGCATTACAAGCATCTTCGCAAAATTAGTATTACTCTATTGACAAGTTTTGGATTCTATATTAAATTCTCATATTGGCAATATTTAAAAAATTTTAAGTAATTTCCTTAGATCAACCCACTGCCCATTGGCGACATTGTCTGTGGAAGTAAATGAAAATGTTGATTTGACTCAGTGACGCAACTACTTACGTTACTACGTACTGATATATGTTTGTACTTCTGTTACAATAAAATGACGTCGGGGTTGTTGGCGTCAGGGCTTGCTATGATAAAATCCAGCAAAGCGTAAAATAGCAACAACAAAATTAAAGCAAAAAAAGTACTAGTTTTGTGAAGGTTGTGTGGAGTGAAGTGGAGGCACTAGTTAAGGACACTGGCGCCGCGATGAATGATATATTTGCTGTTGTTGTGATGCCATCGGATGACCGTGAAGTGCCAAATATACGAAATCCTGTACAATCTTATACATTTTAATCTGCATATGCATGTGTCTCTTCCACTTTCTGTATAATTATTTTGTTTCTGTTGACACTGCAGCGATTTTCAACAATTCACCGCCCATTTGTGCAGTCAAAAACCTTTAAAAGAAATCCTTAATTGTAGAAGAAAAATAACAATTTACTAATTGCTGTGTTTCACGATGAGTACGTTTAACATATCCTTGTACAAAAGTAATTAGTGTTTAGGATATGTGTGCACTTAAATGCTGACACGAACGATGGTTAAAAGAATTTATTTACTTTTTTATAGGTCAGATTACTGAAAAATGCCAGTGCTAGGGAAAGATTTGTATGTTTTTTTTAAATATATTTTACAAAATAAAAAGGTGATTGTTGTTGTTAGTCATTTTGTGTACATGTTTCTCTGTTTATACAATATCACAAATTATATTATATATATATTTTCGCATTGTGTTTTGAAATCATAATTATTAAATAAAAAATATTTTAGATACCCCTGAAGATGTTGGAAAATAACCAACGAAACGTCGGGTGAAAAATGAAATAAATTGAATTTTATTTGCATCCTAATAATAAGACCAGAGTAGCCTAAAGAAAATTCTAACTAAAACAATAAAACGGACTGGTCAAAAATTCCATTATTAATAAAAGGTGTTTTGTTTTTAAAAAATGAATGAAAGTTTTAATATTAAAACAAAATAGTACTAACCCATCTTTAGCTTATTCCAATTTTCTTTTTTGATTTTGATTGATTATTATCATGTAGGTATAGCTCCTAATATTATCGTTTATATAAAGTAAGACATTATTATCAAATTTTATCGTGGATAAAAAATGATTTTATTATCATGTATAAAAAATTTACCTTATTATCATAATCTATCTAATATATCATACTCAATCGCATCTCAAAAACTCTCCAAGGGATTTGGTTCCGATGAATAGTCATCGTCGAACCTGTGATATATTTTAGGGGCAAATATGAATCACGAGACTTATCGAAATGTACAAGAGAGTTATCGAAACATTAGACAAGCGCTGGAATGTTTGTATTACTGCTGAAGTAGATCACGTTAATGAATAAAGTTAAATTCTGCCAAAGCTTGTTTTTTATTTGTTGACTTTCGGAATTATCCGCGATGTGTTAGATGACTAAAACCAATTTAAAGATTCTTAAAGCAATATTCAATAGTGGAACAACTTTCAATTATAAGTAAATTATTAATTTTTTTTATAAACACAAATGTCAGCACTAGGCTTGGATTTCCAAGAAATTCATTAAAAAAATGCCTTCATAAACTATATACCATAGTAATGGAGGTTCATTATTTATAAACTAACTTATTTGGTGTAGCAGACTTAGGTCATGTAATATAAAAATGATACGTTTTTCTTGAACTTCAGTATTACTTGCTTATTGAGTTGTCCTTTATAGACGTCTGCCGGCATTAGTTGCTTCCAGTGGCTAACGCAACAGATAGTAGAATCATATGCTTGCTGTAGCTAATTACTAGGATCAAGTGACGACTCCAAATCTTTTGTTTTTTTAATCATATAATTAAAGAAACGAAAATTCTCTTCCGCGTTTTCCACCACTGGATACCAAATCTTCCGAAATATTTTTCTCTTGAATGCTTTTATTGCGCTCGCATCACTGATTGTTTACCGCAGGATGGGTATGGTAAGAGACTTGTACGGCGTAACTATCGTCTTACGTCAACCAACATCATGCATCCAGTAAAAATATTTTGACCTGAGTTTTATTTCTGAGTGTATTAATGCTTATTTCCAGAAAAGTAAGGTGTTTCATTATTTTGAACTTAAAGTTGTCAACTGCGACATAGGTCTGAACACGGGTCTTAGTTGATACAAAATAGTTAAGTTTGTTTTTGTTTTTATTTGAAGTATTACATTATATTAGTAATAATTAGTGCGGAAATACTTTGTATATATACAATATAACCATATTTTTGAAACCTTCTAAAAAGTATTTATTTTTATTTAGCAAAAAAAAATTGAGAAGCTGTCTGAAAGGTAGGGGATTTATAATTCTATGACTTTTTGGATTTTTATAATGTCAAAATCTCATTGTCTTAATTTATGTTCTTCTGAAAAGTAAATGGCCATTCCTTATATATAATTATATATATTATAGAAGAGATCAATTTCGATTAATATAATATTTCTTAATCCTTTCCTGTACAAATTAATGGTATTCTTTGAATAATGTTCAAAGTAAAGTAAAATTTTTTTAACATATTTTTAAATATTTTAATGTACTTTAAAACAGTTTAATATATTTTTTTCGACTTTTGTAAACAAGAAAAATAAAAAAAAACATTTAGTGTAACAAAACAGTTGTTATATGTTTCCATAAAAGTCATCCATTCCATGTTATATGTTTTTCTGAAATCATAGCCCATCAATTAATTTTTAAGACAAATAGGCATAACTGAAACATTTGTAAAATGTTTTAAAATTTCTAAATTTGCTTATTTACATAGACTTAAAGTCTTTGTTTTTGTAATGGAAATTTACTTAGACAATAGATTAAAATTATATACACGTGAAAGTAAAAATTGTAAATAATAACATATGTTACAAAAATATATCAAAAAAAAAATTAAAAAAATATTTATTATAAAAATTTAAGTTCACAACTTTAAATATTTATTTAATCATTTACGTTAACAAATTTTTAAAGCCTTTTATTTTTGAAAAGTCAGTTTTTTGTAACCAATTTAGTATAAATAGAGAAAGTTCCGACTAAGATTATCATTGTTCTAAGTTATTTCAACAGTGAACAGTTCAAGCTAAAACATGAAATTTGTAATTTTATTAGCACTAGCTTTAGTGGCAGTTGTATCTGCTCAAGATACTACAACTGTTGCTAGTACTGATACCACAACTGCTGCATCTACTGATACTACAACAGCCGCTTCTACCGACACTACAACTGCTGCCTCTACCGATACGACAACTGCTGCTGCTTCTACCGATACTACGACTGCTGCTTCCTCCACCGATACCACAACTGCTGCTTCCTCCACCGATACCACAACTGCTGCACCAAGCAGTGGTGGAAGTACATCAAAGAAAACAACACGCAAGACAACAAAAAGGAGAACAACTCGCAGAAGAAGACCAACCAGAAGAACAACTCGCAGAAGGAGACCAAATAGAAGAACAACCAGAAGAAGGAGAAGATCAACAAGACGTCCAACAAGAAGAGTAATTAGACGTACTACTGCTAGAACCGCCGTAGTTGGACTTGGAGGACTTTTCAATTTATTAGGTTAAATTGAATATTATTCAGGCAAGATATCAGAAATTCTGATATATATAATACATAAATACTATGTGAATATATACAATTACAAGAGCAAAACAAAATGTAAAACTGGTTTTTCAATTTTATAGTTTATTGTAAGATGTTTCACAAATTTTAGTACTAAAGAGTTCGGGTCAGTAGTGTTTTAGTCGGATTCAATCTTTTGAGCTTTAAAATGAAAATAGTTTTGTTATATAGTTTAACGGATAACGTTGTCTTTAATCATGCGAAATGTGCTTAATGGTCAATACTATCTTCTTGAATGAGTCTGATAAGCCCAGAATGGAAATGTTAACACGGCAAAAGGATTGTTCTGGAAATTCGGGTTCCACTTAAGTGTAACTAAGCTTTACTTTAATAATTTTTCAATACTGCACTGAAGAGGATAATTACATACAATAATAAAATAATAATTAATATGGAAGTCATTGATATGGAAGACTTGACTGCAACAAGTAGATCTTTTTAATCTTGTTTTTATTATAAATGGAATATTGTGTATTCTTTTTTGAATAATTCCAGTCATTATATCAATAGCTCTTGATACAAGATAATTATATTTGCATTATATTCTACAAAAAAAAAAAATGCATAAAAAATGCACATAAAATAAATTTGTTTCTCTTTGTGTGAAAAAGAAAGACCCCAGCTTCTTCAAAGAACTCCAGCCATTAAATAAATTTCTCTTGAGACAAAACTAAAGTACTTTATTAAGTATTTTTAGAAACTACTTGTAATGGATTCTGGAAAATATGCTCTATTTACATACTAGTTAAACTGACCTGATCATTTTGCTAGTGAAGTTTTATTTCATGTGGTAAAGAACCAACATATAAAATGGTTGAACCAACATGATGCATCGAGTAAGAATATTTGACCTGATATTTAGTTAAAATCTTGTAAAATCAGCTATATATTTTTTTGAGTGTGTCAAAATTAGTCCGTCTTCTAGTAAAGAGATTGTTCGCTTTTATTAAAAACTTATTTCAAAGGAACTAAAATAAAAAGCAATTACTGCTTACAAAGCTAAAAAGCTTAAAGAATATGCAAGAAGAATGGACCAGAAATCAAAAGTATTTGTAGCACTGGAAAGCAATGTAATTTTTAAGTTAATATTTTAGACGTGCTGAAATGAGATTACTTCCAGTTTAAAGTTGAATTAGGGACTAAGTGTAATAATTTATAAGATTATTGTAAGCATTATATTTTAAAGTAGCATTTCCTTAAAAATTTTTTAAATTTGAGGCAGAACTGGAATAGAACTTTATAATCACGGCAAAGTTCGGTCCTTCTCTGAGTTTGGAATCATTTGAGAAACTTTTTATTATATTGTTATATTGTTGAGCATCATCCTTAAGTCTAAAATATTGTTAAGTTCAGCAATTACTCTAGTCTACTATAATTTTCTCAAGCGCATATGACACTTTCAAATTTCAAGCGGTGCTGCCGATTGTTTTCGAAATCCTACTTAAACAAGAATTCTCTTCTTCTTAATTTAAATTCTTAAAGAAATTCTTTTTATAAACCTTATATATAGTTTATTAACATAAATTTAAATTTTTATTTAAACTATATATTTTTAATTAATATAATTAAGCTTCTTATTTTAATGTTTCTATATAATGTGTTGGATTTTTATGAATCATCCACTATAATAATAATAATTATAATTTGTAGGTAGATAGTAGTAGTAGTTATAATAGTCTGGATATTGCGATGCTGAAGATACTGGAAACGAAAATCCAATTTGCACTAAAGCTAGAAAGGCAAGTATTAAAATGTAAAACTTCATTTCGCACCTTTAAAAAAACTGAAGACATGAGTATTTTTCGGAACATATTTATACGACAATATCAAGGGCAATTTTCAATGATTGTTCTCATATGAATATTATATCTATACATATCAGTATAATTATTTGACAAAAAATGTGATATGCATATATTAGCTTAATTATGACAACTGGGTCAATGCGTTTTCATTGTAAGCCAAATAAGAATACACAGCTTATATAGAAATATACATCATAATCATTTGTGATGTATGTAGTTTTATGAGTGCTATTGACTTATTAACTATTGACTTGTTATAACAACTGATATCTACAAAATACATTTATTGAATATTTGTTGTAAATATAATATGTAGTGTCTGCACTGATATAGTGTATATGTGTACAGATGAATGATATGCCTAATTTTATATATTATATGATTATTTTATCTATTATTCATAGCTTTAAGGTTACTGTAATTGTGATCATTCTAGTCTAACTGTCTGTTTCATATATGTACATTGTACATATATTGTATTGATATAAAATCCAGCATCATATTTTGGAAAGCTATTTAATCTATGAGAGTATAGTTCTATAACTTGTCATGCAATGCTTTAGTAACCTTATTATGCGCCAGAGATAACACTTTTAATAAATTTGTTTATTGATATTTTATATTTTTAATTAAGCTGTTTACTTCAGTTATTCAAAACTGATACTTCAGTAAATAATTACTGCAATACAAAAACAAAAAAATGAATAAAAATTTAATTAAATTAATATGCCTAAAAAACATAATGAAATCAGTAATTATTTATAATTAAGAGTAATAAGAGTGATAATAAAAAATAAGAGAAATAATTTAAAAAAGTAATTTAAGAAATTGTTTAAGTTCTTTGACTCAAGAGTTCAAGAATTTAATTCAAGAAGATCTATAAAACAGATTTCTTAAAAAGCAACATTCGTTGGAGCTACAGTTGTTGGAGCTTCAGTTGTTGAAGCTTCAGTTGTGGAAGCTACAGTTGTTGTAGCTTCAGTTGTTGGAGCTTCAGTCGTTGAAGTACGTCCACCTCTACCGGGACGCCCAGTAACACCACCAGGTTTATCATTTGGACTTTTAATTGGAATTTTTGTAGTTGTTGAAGCTTCAGTGGTTGGACCTTCAGTTGTTGGAGCTACAGTTGTTGGAGGTTCAGTTGTTGGAGGTTCATTTGTTGAAGCTTCAGTTGTTGGAACTACAGTTGTTGGAGCTTCAGTTGTTGAAGCTTCAGTTGTTGGAACTACAGTTGTTGGAGTTTCAGTTGTTGGAGCTTCAGTTGTTGGAGCTTCAGTTGTTGAAGTACGTCCACCTCTACCGGGACGCCCAGTAACACCACCAGGTTTATCATTTGGACTTTTAATTGGAATTTTTGTAGTTGTTGAAGCTACTGTTGTTGAAGCTTCAGTGGTTGGACCTTCAGTTGTTGGAGGTTCAGTTGTTGAAGGTTCAGTTGTTGGACCTTCAGTTGTTGGAGCTACACTTGTTGATGCTTCAGTTGTTGGAGGTTCAGTTGTTGGAACTTCAGTTGTTGAAGCTTCAGTTGTGGCAGCTACAGTTGTTGGAGCTTCAGTTGTTGGAGGTTCAGTTGTTGAAGTACGTCCACCTCTACCGGGACGCCCAGTAACACCACCAGGTTTGTCACTTGGACTTTTAATTGGAATTTTTGTAGTTGTTGAAGCTACTGTTGTTGGAGTTTCAGTTGTTGGAGCTTCAGTTGTTGGAGCTTCAGTGGTTGGAGCTTCAGTTGTAGGAGCTTCAGTGGTTGGAGATTCAGTTGCCGGTGCCAACGTAGTTGTGTCATCGGCTTGACCAAATATATCTTGTTGTGCAAAAATAATTATTGCCAATATACAAAATATATAAAACTTCATTATGGATCTTAAATTAAAGCTTCTAATCAACTGAGACCAACTCCGTTCAGCATAACGTTTTTATATAAAAAATGTTTTTGTATTACTTAAGCATATTTAGTATAATTTCACGCTTTAAGTATACATTTAAGCGATTATTTAGAAATTATTTAAATGCTTGTATTTACAACAATTGTGTCAATAGATATTTAATTTCAGTGGGTTTTTATAAAATATATGTATTCTTCTTACATAACATTGTGGATCATTTAACGTTATTTATAAATTTATTTTTAAAAAAATTATTTTTTTATTGAAATAAACACAGATGTTAAAAATTTTTTATTATACATTTTATACAAGAACCTGTATTATATTTAAGAATAAAAGATCTATTAAGTTTGCATGGTTTCTGCTCAATACGAAATGTTGTTCGATGTTGTATATTGTATGAATTATACTTCTATATTGACGTACTTAGGATATTTTCTTTCAATTTCTCACAGCACGCTATTGTATGAAGTGCTATTTCAACATTACCGGTTTTTCATAGGTTTTTCATAAACGGCTGTTACAACGCTTGAACACATTATCCGCTTTAGAGATGTACTTGTTGGTCAATACAATGTATGAAACACAGAAAAAAATCAGCCATGATAGTCATATTCATCAATTTAAATACAGTCGATTGCTATAGTAGCTAACTACACTGACTGTAGTTATATTGATTATAGGAGCACATGACATTAGTTTCACTGTAAACAAGTCTATATAAAAACATCAGCTGTTAAGAATTAATTTTGAATCAGACACCAAAATAAATAGTAATCGAAAGATGTGTGCAAATTGCATCCACGATTAAAATCATGCTACCAGTGTCAGTATTTCACAGTGACAAAGCATGGAGGTTCATCTCCAAATGTGAAAGTAAGTTGATCGATAATCTCGTCTCTTGTCTTGATAATCCACGTCGAAAGTCCAAGTCGTAATAAATCATTTCGTGATAGTATTATCGCGTTAATTCCATTTTTTCGCGAAAACTCAATTTAAAAATCAGTGTAAATAACACAAGTAACGTTCTTTTGACAAAAAGTCTAAAGTAGATTATGTTTTATAATTTCAAACTTTCGTATGGAAACGTCAGATCATACAATCAGTGTTGCTAAGGCTCAAAATATAAATAGTGACCTTCGTAGTTTATAATAATTTATATGAAACGTTTAAGCTTTAAAAGAAAAAGTTTCTGATTATTATCTAATTACCTATAGATGTATGCCAGATAATGATATTAGAATGTTTTTGACATTTCAACATGAATTGAATAAATATATTATAATTTTGTTCAAATATATTTCTTCAACTTTAAAATTATTTAATTTGTTTTAAATATATTTAAATATATTTCTTTTAACATTGAAATATGCTAACCATTTCTTTAGAATGTCTTGTCAAAAATCTTGTCAAAAAAAAGTTGTCTCTGCTATTTGTCTGGTCCAGATTTAGTGCTGTTAACTTGCACTTTTATTAGAATGCCAGTAATGACTTAGTTGAAAGTTTTACATTTTGATTAAAATGAATTCAATTTACACATTTATTGATTTGATTTAATTTTGCGCATTTATACTCGGTGTTACATTTTCAAGGAATGAAAATGAAATTTAATAAATTTCACAAGCGATATTAAGTATATTTTTGCAATATCATGTAAATAGTAAGTGGGCAAAATTTATTTAAAACTATATATTGATTTAAATTTTTTATTAAAACCCAGAGTTGTACTCTTATTAAAATTTTGAAAAATATTAAAATATAAAACATAGGTCGTTACCTATAAACTCACCATATATAAATAAGACTACACACAATAAATGTAAAACATAAACTGCAAAAAGGACAAAATAAATGAAAATCACTTAATGAAGCAGTCTAGGCAAAATTTTTATGTCCTTACATCTTCCATCGGTAAAGGAAGGAAGTATGCAAATTATTTTATGACTACGAAAACATTGACTTTGACTATAAAAATAGAGGAAAAAGTTTTAAGAAAGAAAAAAAAAACAATTTTATTCTTAATTTTTCCTTAGTATTTTTTGCTACTCGCTCCATTGTAACTAGTAGTTTTATGTAGCGAAAGCAAATACGAGTAAAATTTTGTTTGCTCAACAAATACGGCGAGCACGATTGGTGTTTCCAAAAATATTGCTAGTAACAGCAAAAATTTATTTACCAAATAACAAAAATAACAAAAATACTAATAAATATAAAAATAAATAAAAGAAAATATTGAAGTTACAGTTTTACTTCCAAATAAAGCTGTATAGTTAGTTCTATTGTGGTATTTACTCACATATACCATAAGAATGTGGCCATATGCAAATTTATTTTGTGCCATGTTTGGTTATTGTGGTGCCATTTGGCTTATTAGTCCACAGTATGGTTACAGCCATACTTAATGTGAAATGCAAAGAAATTAAGTCATTGTTATTGTTATATAAAAATATATTTATACGTATACATAAAGTAATATGTTACTATGAAATATGAAAGGTAATTGTACCTTGAAATGTTCAACAAAAGCATTTATAATAATTTCATTTCAATTTACATATATAAAGTGTATTAGTTGAAAGTGTATTCGTATTTAGAAGTGAATTACTGTAGCCCTGAGTTGTAGTTTAGTATTACTTCGAATAATTGTTCCATCCATTAAATTAAGTAATTTATTTCTATAAGTCCTTCATGAAGATTACTGTAATTTATTGCATTACTATTTGTAGTCTGAAGTATGCAGTACATGGTTTTGGACTTCAATGTTTTCGACAATATATAAAATTAATGGTCAATATGCTTATATTTTCCATGCAATACAAAAAACAACTAAGCGTATATGTAATATTAAGCAAATATGTTTTGGTAGTGGCTTATTCAAAAAAGGACATAAAGAAATAGTTCCCCTACTTGCAATGTAAACTAAAAATAATTGAAATTTTGGATTTCATACTAATCAACTTATGCGTAAGAACTAATATCAGCCAAAAAGCCGTCTATCTTAAGAATTGTTATGTACTCTAACAGCCAGGCGGCGCTTAAAGCTCTGTCATTTAGACATTCAAGTCGAAACAGGTCCTTAAGTATTACGAGCTTCTTCAGTTTACTAGTTTCCAGACAACATAGAAGTTGTGGGAAATTAACAAGCTGATGAGCTAGCCAGAACTACATCAAAAACGGCTCCTCAAACAAGTCCCCAACCCTTTTGTGGTTTAAACTGGGCCAGTCCAAACAAATAATCAAGGAGAGGAAAAATTATATGCGGCTGGTGTACTGAGAAGACTTCCCATGACTTAGACAAAGCAAAGCATTGATCACTCCTACGAAGACATTCTTAAATTCTCAAAAGATAATTTAAGGTTGACAACGGGTTTTATTGCGAGTCATTATGGTCTGAAATATCACCTTCACAAAGTACGATTATCTGGTAATTCGGAATGCAGATTATGCCTAGAAGAAAAATAAACGGTATTGAAAACACCAAAATAATCGAATAACCGATATATTAACAACTAAAGTTGGATATATCTCCAGACGGCTTAAAGATTATAATGTCAATGCATAAAAAATGGTTTTATTTTGATGGTATTACTGAATTTAATTGCCTTTTTCGTAGCTATATATATTAAGATAAGATACTAAAAACTGATTACCAATCAGTTATAAACAAGAAAATTACATTTTTAATTAAATTTGGTCTATTTTAAAGAATTTAAATATTAATGTTAACAAACATAATTACTATTTTATGAATCGACATTTGATAATACTTTAATATCAATAAAAGACATAAAACCATAAAATTTTATGTAAATTTTTCTAAGATATCATAATATATACTTTTTGACTACGTGTATTATCACATCATTAATCTTGTCAACTACAGCAAAAAATCGAAAAATGTATCAATTTCAATAATAGTTATATCAACTGTCAATATGTTGTCTTTTTCACCAAAGCAATAGTTGGAAATAAAAAACGATTTCAGTTTTTCGATATTACTAATGGTATTAATGGAAACAAAAACAAAACTGAAAATTACTTCAACTACAATAGTAAAAATGACTATTCTCGATATGGCAAGCGCTAATGATATCCTTTATGTATAGATAGTTTTGCATACGTTAACGTTAATGATTGTCATTTACAAGTATATTAGACATTTACAAAAATGTTAGTATAATATTACAACAAATTTAATATTGAAAGAGTCCATTTGGATTTACATCAGTCCGGAAATGTTCCAAAATTAGTAATTTTAATCTGAGGAATTTCAATAAATATGAGATTATAGCTTTTACTTTGATCCAGTAAAAATAACATGTTCTGGACTTACTTTTAGATCAAAACATTCATTTACTAAAAATTTTGCTATTCACATCGTATTTTTCATTTTCTTTATTTAATTCTTCATTTAATCTTAACCTAAATATCAATAATTTGTGTCTTGAATTTATTTAAAGTAGTTCAATATTAAAATTTTATGGCAACTTGTCTTTTAGGGGACGCCACATACCTTGACCCTAAAAAGTACAAGTGATTTAATTGAACTATAACTAACGTTGAATTTATATTAATTAATGCCAATACTGTCTTTATGTTTCTAATAATGAAAGCCGATTTTGAGATGGGTTTCCCATTTTATTGGAAGCAAGTTTGTCTGTGTGGGAATTCCAACAATCACATCGTAACAATGACTTTATTTAAACTAGATACCGCATATATCTATTATTAACAAATCGAGGGTGTGATGTGTGGAAATTATTTTATACCAAAACACTATAACGAAAGTAGTGGTGTGTTAAACGCTATGACAATGATCCGATAAACCTATATATACGACAGAAGCATTTCAAAAGTTTTAAACATGTTTAAAGAAAATCATTATAAGAGAAATAATAACAGAGTAATGAAGAGAAACATTAAGAGTAATGGAGAAAAAATCAAGTACCAGATTTTCAATACTTCGGGTG